GTGGAGACACATTGCATCACCATCTGGGTCCATTTCTCGCAGAAGCCATGAGCTTTCAATATACTTTCCAAACAGTGCCAATCAACACTATCATAAGCTTTGCGAATATCTAATTTCAAAGCCAACACATTAGGCTTACCAGATTTCTTAAGTTGCAGCCCGTGAAAGGCTTCGTGTGCAATCAAGATATTGTCCTGGATGGCTCGACCAGGTATAAATGCAGACTGAAACAGAGTTATAAGTTTATCAAGATAACCTTTCAAGCGATTAGCCAGGATTTTAGCGATAATTTTATAAGAGAAATTACACAAGGAGATGGGCCGGAACTGTGAGATTACCTCAGGATTCTGAATTTTGGCGACAAAAACAATTCTAGTCTTGTTCATCTCTCATAGCATGAAGCCGTGATCAAAGAAGTGTCGAACTGCCTTGCATACATCAGGGCCAACCATATCCCAGTGTTGTTGGTAGAAGCATCCTGAGAATCCATCCACTCCTGGAGCCTTAAACGCTCCTAGTTGGAACACAATGGAGCGAATTTCATCATCTAAGACAGAACAACATAGGTCATGATTCATTTCTGCAGTAACTGATGGTTGGATAAGCCTCGTAATCTACTCAAAGTTACAAGAGTTTGACGAAGCATAGGCTTGTTGGAACTGAGAGTGAGCATGGGTGAGGATTGATTCTGTGTCTTCCAACCATTGCCCATATAATAATCTTTTTTTATATCTTAAGAAAGATAAATATTTTTTTTAATTTAACCTTGTTATTATCTCTTAATTTAATTATATTTATTCATCCTATAATAAAAACCTCTTTTATTTTTATTTCTTTTTATTTCTTTTTTATATGTAAAATAAATAAAAATAAAATTATCCAAAATTTAAAATGCCTTTATTATTTTAAAATAGATTAAATAAATTTACATTAGTATTTTACTAAACTAAATAAACTAAAATTACTAGAGTCTAACAATGGGAATATATAATATTATACAAATGAACACATTCAAATATTTAATGTTATATTATATTTTATAATGCACAACCTAGCGTGTGCTATGCAGTAGCATCTTTATTAAATTTTTCATAATTTTAAGTTATAGAATAAAAAATACTTTTTTTATCTTTTAAAGTTTTAAAGTCTTAAAGTCTCCTACTTTATATAATAAAATTTAAATTAAAATCTCTTAAAATATATTAGAGTTAAAAAAAAAAACGAAAAAATATATTTAATTATCAAAAGAATTTTTTTAACAAATTTTATTTTATTTTTAAAATTTAATTACTTATTTAAGTAAAAATAAATAAATTATAGAAAAATGAACATCTCTCCCTTCTATTGCCCTTTTCGTTATTTTCCTCGTTTAATAAAAAATAAAAAATCTACCACCAACTTGCTGATAGGGAGCTGGCTGTTCATTTCTTTATTTATTTATTTTTCCGTAAAAGATTTGGATTATCTGGTGCGGCTGACGGGTAGATTTTCCACCTAAGGTGTGAACTGGGTCCCATCAATACAGCACTTTTTGAGCATGTTTTAAACGTCGAGCATGCTAGGCGCCATAATTTGCCACGTTGCTCACGGTTTTAATAATTTACTGAAAACCTGTTATATCTGTTAGCTTAAAGAGGTCCACCCACAGCCTTTTCCATCCTTCCCCGTGTCGGAATTCACCTTTTCTCTCTCCTCTTACTGCACATATCAACCTTTCCCAGAACTAGAACAGGAGTTGGATTGAAACTCATCCCAAAATCCAAATTCATCAAAATTTATTTTGAGATAATCTCAATATTTAATTATTCCTAGTTGGTAGGTTTTTAATGAAAACTTACAAAAATATCTAGCCTCAAATATATGAAAGCATTAGAAAAAAGGTTTGAAGTGATGCATTTGGGTTTGAAAAATCCATCAAATTAATTTTCAAACTTCTCAAGCATTGTAGACTAGAAACCCAGATGCAACAAAAAAAAAAAACCAAGAGAAAAAAAAAGACAAGATCTAAGGTTTGAGACTTTTTATATACTTGATTTCCTTTTTGTTGCAGACCCACCTACCTTTCTCTTCGCTTATTTATTCTTTTGCTCCAATCCTCAAGAAATAGATCTTGTTTTTTTGGTTGCATCTGCATTTCTAGGCTCGATCCCTCTATTGATAGAGCTTCAAAGTTTGAAAATTAATAGAAAAGAACAGATACAAACAGCAAACAGAGCTCACCCAAGGAAAATTTACCTTACCCAATAATTTATTTAACTTTAGATCTAGTACGAGGCTGAGCAGGGAAATTATTTCGCTTATGCAGTGAACATGACTGATAATGTGAGCAGAGAAAGAGGAAATTTTTGAAGAGAACAAAAAAAAAAAGTTGTAAATAAAAATATTAATTTTATAATTTTTTATTTAAAAACTTTAAATTTTTAATTTTTATTTAAAAATTAATTAATAATTATATTGGCATAATAAATAAATTTTCTAAATAAAATGCTAATATATATAGACCCATCTTTAATTTGTTAATATATTTTGTTGTGTGAACTAAAAATAAAAAATATATAAAAACGGATCAGATTCGTAAGCGGGAGAATTCCACAAAAATCTAACCCCTAACATTTGAAGCGGATGACATTCCCACAAGTCACTACAACCAAAATAATATCGCCAGGGGCACCTAGGCCTCATGGCCGGATGACTCTATGTTTTGTTGAAAGTACATCCCTCAGTCGGGGTTCGAATTCCTCCCAACGTAATCCTTCAAAAAATAATAATAATAATAATGATAATATTGCCAGGGAACTGAGAACCTATGCTTCGTTCTGATGTTTAATTTGTGAAGTAGCATACTTGTTTTGGAGGATTTTTTTTTTTTTTGGTTAATAAGTTAGTTTTTATTAATTATTAGTAATTGAAAATTTGAGTCTCAAATTTAATGAATATCTCACCTCTTTATCAATAAGGTGTGTCATCTATCAAATCGTTTGGTGAAATTTGTTTTAAAGGACATCTTGCTACTTTACATATTTGAAATGTCTTTCTTTCTATTTTTTCAAAGTAAAATTTCATGAATTATTTATTAAATTATTTTTAAATCATGTGTAAAAAATAAAATTGATAATCATTTATTTTAAAATTTTATAAATTTTTTAAATAATTTATGTCCCATGTGAATATGTGATAAATTTAATATTTTTAATGTTTTATGGTGTTTTGTTTGGTTTGTGAGTATGCATTATTTTTTTTAAGATGGATTGATGTTAATTTGCATTTACATTACTTTGCATGGATGTTCGTTTGAAAGTGAGACTAGTGTTGTTTTTTTTTTTTTTGCGTGCCGTGGCTACATGGCCACTTATTGTTTAAAGGGCAACTCGTGGTTTGCAGTCTCAAGTTTTTGATTTAATATCTTTCATTAACACTTTTAACATATTAACCTTTAATTATTGTCTTTATCAAACAAAAAAAAAAAAAAAACTAGGGTTGTTTAGTATAATGTATAAAATTTAACAGATAATACATAATAAATAATTGCTAATAAGTAGTAGATAATAGGTGATAATTAATAGATAATATGTGATAAATAGTAAAAAGTAAATAATAAAAAGTGATTAGTAGATAATAAATAATAAATTTAATTAATATAATAGTTCGATTATACAATAATTAATAATTATTATTTAAAATTAAATAATTGATAAAAATATTTTTAAAAATAATTAAGTGCATTATATTAGTTTTAAATAAAATACAAAAAAAAAATCTTTTTGTCCAATTAGTAAATTTTATTTATTAAACTAAAATATTTTTTATGATAAATTAATATAAAAATGAAAATATAATAATTACTTAATATTATTAAAGGTAAAAAATATAATTGAAACTAATTAAATAAATACTAATTCAAAACAATGGCAAAAAATTAAAAAAAATAAATTTATCAATAAAACTAAAAAATTCCATTTCACTAGTGGTTTTGGTACAAAAAATTAGCTTATGTAGCCTTTTCAATTTCTAACGATTTGGGTCCTAATCATTATTTATTAGTTTCAAATCACTAAATAAAAAGTATTACTAAACACTTAATTTGTAACAATTTTAAAATAAATAAATACACAAAATATCCATTTTTAATAGTTTGTATAAAACTGTTAAACACGAACCGTTACCACCAAATTGTTACATCAAACAGACCCTTAAACTATGTTTGGTTGTGGGATAGATTATATTCATGGGTTTTTTTAATTATTATTATGAGAAAAGTGTATATTACTC